CACTGTCAAACTGTGGTGAATAATGGGAAATGGTGAGTCAGATTTTTTTTGATATGGAGGGATGGGAATTGGAGGAAACAAACACTGCTTTAAGTCAACCTGCTTAAAAAAAACAGAAAGCGCCATTGATGCACGGCAGTTATTTGAATCCCTTTATAATGGCTTCTTCACTTTTTCTACAAGATCAGAAAGTTCTTGGATCCTTACGTGCCTCTTTTCTCTCCACTCGGCAGGAGAGACCTGACAGCAGGCTTCTTCTTCCAGAAAGCCCCCAAATTTGCCTCTGGAATATCAGAACATTGAGTTTAAAACATCTCAGGGGAAAAAAGAGAAAACCTTACTCAACAAGGCAGCATCGTTGTCAACCGTGGGCTTGATCCCTCTGAACTGCAGCCTCAGAAGTGGGGTCTGTTCTCTTTGTGGGAAGGCACAGCCTGACTCCTAGAAGGACACATGAAACACAGGGGGGAGGTCAGGGGGAGGTGTAGGAATGGCAAGTCTTTTTTACTGGTCTAGTGGAGAAGGCACCAGGCTAGAAAGCAGGAGACGGTGAGTTCTAGTCCCGCCTCAGGCATGAAAGCCAGCTGGGTGACCTTGGGCCAGTCCCTTTCTCTCAGCCCAGCCCACCTCGCAGGGTTGTTGTTGTGGGGAAAATAGGAGGAGGACGGAATATTAGGTATGATTGCTGCCTTGAGTTATTTATAAAAATAATAAAGGCAGGATTTAAAAAATCTTTTAAAAAACCTAAAATGGATCAGAGAAATAGTTTTCTAACTTCCAACAATCGTATTTCCAGGATGGGTAACAGATCATATATCCTAAAGAATTAAAGTATACATGGGGCCATGAGAAGGTGTTGGACCAGGAATGGGGAGACCTTGGTTCTAGTCCCCCCTCAGGCACAGAAGCTCCCTGGGGGACTTTGGACCAGTCCTCCCCATTAAGCCCCAGAATTAGGGTAGGGTCGTGGGGAAGAAATTGAATGGGAGCAGGGAGACCCAGATTCCCTGTCCCCCCCCACCCCATGATAGAAGCTCTCTGGAGGGACTCTGAGCCAGTCCCTTCCTCTCAGCCCAAGGGCTAGTGTGATGTAATGGTGAAGGTGCTGGACTATGAATGGGGAGATCCCAGCACTGGTCCCCCCTCAGCCAGGGAAGCCCCCAGGGAAACTGCGAGAGACATTCTTTCTCTTAGTCCAACCTATCTCACAGAGGTGTAGTATCTAAAAAGCCCTGGGAAAAACAGGACTTTTGCCTAGAGCAGTGTTTCTCAACCTTGGCAGCTTTAAGCTGTGTGGACTTCAACTCCCAGAATTC